CACCACATGAATAACGTACCCCCAGTACGTCAAAAGCCGAAGGAGTCCATTGAGAGAACACAGACGGAGGTTTCCAGAAAAGAGGGACGTCATCCGAAGTGTACTCGCACTTGTCATCAAACGGCGGAGCCGGTGCTGGGCGAAGGGGCAAAAGGCGGGCACCAGGCACAGGCGGGGATGGACCAGGCGGACGGGTCCTCTTCTCCGACGGGGAGGACCCAGAAAGCGAGGCAGGAGCGGGCGAAATCGCAACGCGCCGTGATCCGGAGGGCGGCCTTAGGGNCCTTCCACAGAATGGTGGGCACTACCATCCGATCCCGATGGCAGTGGTGCAGTCAACACGTGGTGGGCAGCAGAGGAAGACGAATTCGTATCAGGTGCTGTCACACGGGGGCAGCGGACGGTCGAAGACAACGAAAGCTGCGACAGAGAAGGAGGATCGACGGGGTTCCCGACGAGTGTAGAAGAAGGCTCGTGTGCGATCCGAGAAGAGGCCCGGCTGACAACACCAGGAGAGTCTTGACGAATAGTAGAAGACGAGGTTCTTGTTCCTTCGGTAACCCGAGACGACGAGGTGAGCAGGGATGGACCGCTCGACGTCTTACGTCCCCGTCGCCCACACCACAAAGGTGCTGTCGAAGTGGGTCTGTCATGTCCATTACCAGCAGGCGATGATGCGGACGACGAGGAGGCGGGCCGAGAAACTAGATGGGATTTAGGAGCGTGGGGAGTATCCAAAGAAATAGGCTGTGCACGAACATCTTGGGAGACTCCAAAAGGGTGCACGGTGGTTGCTGTTGACGGTAGTACCGGCTGAACTCCGCCATCGGCTTGTCATTTCTTACCCCTCCAGCCCCTTTTTGTCGAAGTGGAAGCGTCCGACGAGTGCTCTGTGTGTGAGGACTGTTTCGTCTCCGATGTGTCAGATGAGCGGCGGGCGCGTCCTAAGGGACGAGGTCATGCGCTTTTTCCACCGACCCCAAAGGGTGGGATCCTTTTCCATACAGAACTTGATGTCATTGTTAAGCAGGCCGGTGGCGTTCACGAAACCACGATTACAGGATTTGAAGGAGTGGTCTTCTTCCAAGCAGTTGAGGCACTTGCCCTTGTACAGTCGAAGCGCGTTGCGGCGCTCTTCAGCCGAGACCAAGGGGGTGAACAATGGCGCATCATTCTTAGTTAGAGCCATCTCACTTGCGACGTTGTACACCTCTTGGAAGCGTCCGTGCAACGGCCAGTCGCTGTAGTGCAACAGAAAAGGGTCCCGATCATCATTAGGTAGAGGGTCAACACTCATCACGGCGGCCGAAGAACCTTGGCTCCACGAAGGGGTCACAGTCGAACGCAACACCGAAGAAGCTGCAGCACGCGAAACAGCAGACGAACTCCTAGTATTTGTGGAAGATACCGAAAAGAATTCATCTCCATGTACCGCCGACGTGTGCGCGAACGCACGCTTGTCCAACACATCCCACATGTCATCCAGACACGAAGCATGCCGCCCAAAAGGGGCTTCCATGGAGAGCTGCTCATCCTTGTACACCTGCCCAGACACTACCGGAAACTGCTTCAACATGGAGTCTCGAACAGCTATCTGCACTTGCGCATCCGAAGGCTTGAACGCGTGGTGGGAAACCATGACGGTCATGGCCAGAGCCTTATAGCGACGGACGTATTCTCCGTAGCTCTCGCCGTTGGATACGCCAAAACTGCGAAGACGATCAATCCCGTCGCTGACGCCATATGCGAAGGTGTACCGATTCAAGTAAAAGTCAATCGACGGATACCCTGCGAATCGGGTCCTCCTTAACCCTTTTGTGACTACCCCCCTCTGGAGTGATGGTTAGAGTGACGCTCCTCTTCCTGTCGCACAACTTTTTTTCGAAATTCGCGCTGAAAAAGAGGCTCGAAACGGGCGAATAGATAGCGCTCGAGGAGCGCGTTCGCAACCCGGGAACACAAGAAGCAGAATCCCTCCGAAAAAAAAACACAGAGCGGGAGTTGCACTCTCGCAGACCACCTCTGTAAGAGTTGCAGACCGTGTCTTATACGCGCGGCAGACCACTGCTGCGCTGATGTGATGAAGGTCCCTTTCGCGTTTCTCCTGGCGTTTTTTCGCCTCTGCGCTATGGCTGCTGCCACCTCTACTGCTGCTGCTGCTGCTGCTGCTGCTGCTGCTGCTGCCTCTTCTTCTGACGATGAGGCCCTCTGCTTCGGAGCGCGGCGAAACGTGGAACGTTTCCCGCCAGCTCTTGTGCTCGGCCGTAAGGTGGCGGAGCACATGCACCTGGATACCGAGCTTCCCAAGGTGAACTGCAGTGAAAGAAAGAACGGGTCACTTCGAGCGTACACCTCCCCAGACGGGGCCCAAGTGCATGAAGTTCCCGGCGACGAGGATTGTGGATACCACGCTGTACATGGCGCACTGCAGAAAGTGCTAGGCGTCACGCGCGCACCGCATAATGGATGCGAAAGCACTGGAGCGAGTCGGCCCACGACAACTACCCCTTGGTGCGGGAGTGTTTGTTCGAGCTGCTGTACTCTCGGTTTCTCCACTGCTCGGACCCCAACGCCCCGCCGCGGCAACTACCGACCGGAGAGGACAACCCGGAGTACGACTCGAAGTGGCATATCAGGTGAAAATATGTTTAGACTTGTCCGAATGCATTTGTTCGATGTAGATAATCTTGCCGTGCGTTTTTTTTTTTTTTTCAAGGATGTTTTGTTGCTGTAGTGGGGGCAACGACATCGTACGCTGGATCACCCCCTCCACACGCCCGTTCTGTTTCTCCTTTTCGCAGTGTTTACCTTTTTTTTTGTCGAGTAGCCGGGCGAACGGCATGCGTGCAGGATGTTCTCCCATACAATCATCACAGCATGTTGGTGCTTGCATTTCATTCTCGCAAGTTCGAGATATAGGCTGGATGCGCGAATACGAAAAAGCGAACCGTCGGAGAACTTGTCGTTTACAGNCATCGTACGCTGGATCACCCCCTCCACACGCCCGTTCTGTTTCTCCTTTTCGCAGTGTTTACCTTTTTTTTTGTCGAGTAGCCGGGCGAACGGCATGCGTGCAGGATGTTCTCCCATACAATCATCACAGCATGTTGGTGCTTGCATTTCATTCTCGCAAGTTCGAGATATAGGCTGGATGCGCGAATACGAAAAAGCGAACCGTCGGAGAACTTGTCGTTTACAGTTTTTTGTCGTTCTTGCTGCTAACGCAGGGACCTGGAGAAGATCCTTAACCGCGGTTGACTTGGGTCAGTGGTTGTGCTACGACGAACAAATGGTGAAGATAGTAAGCACGTTTTCGAAAGGACTCGCTCACTTCAACCCGGCGAAACCCATCACACACTGTGAGAAAAACCCGTTTTGTTCAACTACGCCCCCTGTGACCCCACAGCCGCCCCCTGCAGACATGCATGAGATCCTGTTTTTCCGTGGAATTAGCCCTGGTCAAAACCAACACCATGTTTTGTTGACGGAGGCGTACCCCACCTATCCGTCTGCACCCGGTCCTTAGTGCAGATCGGGAGGTGTCGAGGCCAGTTTTTTCATCGTACGTGTTCGGTGCTGTCGGGACGTGGGACGTGCAAGGTCGTCGACGAGCTCAGCCCCTGGCGTTTCGAAAGTCTGTCCGCGATCTGCCGCATGTGTTACGCGTTCTGCTGTAGAACCTTTTGTGCGTTAGTGATACTGTACACACGTAAGCCGGGCGGAACTTCGTATGACGCCTTCGTGCACAAGCCTCCAACTGGAATAACACCACTCACTTCCTATGCTTCGTGTTTTTCGGCTTTCGTTTGTTTGCCCTTATTTTGTTCCTTCGCGAGACAGGGATGAAGCAATATGCCGCGTCCGACAGGAACGGATACTGCTTGATCAACAGCATCGACGGGAGCTTCAAAGGTGATCCCTCCCTTAGACCCTTGGAGGATTGCCCCCTTGGCAAAACCACGCGACACGTGCTTCACGTCCTGCTGGAGGAGTGCGAGACGCTGCGCGGGAAGCTTGTCGGTTCCGGCGTCTTCATCGCAATGGACAACTACTTCACCTCGCCCACCCTGTTCGCCTGCCTCGCGTCACACGACATCTTCGCCGTGGGTACCTGTCGCAGCCCGCGGACGTGCGGCGCTCTCCCGTACAT